CTCACCGCGCAAATTGGCGATATGTGGCCGGAAATTAGATAAACTAAGAAAAGCACAAAGACAGCTCAGAGTTAATTAAATTTAAAATGTCTACTCTTAAATCGAAATAACTTTATCAGCGGCATTTGTACGGTAGACAAAGTTCTGATTTACCATGGATGCATATTAAAAGTATGCAGCTCATCTTACTTAAGGATTAAAGTCAAACCGTCATGGCTGCAGGACATTAAAATGCAGATAGACCTCGCCCCCCATCCATGTCTCTCTTCGGATTGTAATGCTGGGAAAATTATTATAAACGCTTACGCAATTTTTTTTAGTGATATTTTTTAGGAACGATGTATCATCGCCTGTGTTCATAAATCTTGATGACATTAATTTCACCAACACATGCTTAGGTTTCCTTTTCCTTCTTTTGGTATTGATGAGATAGCCACACATCTGCTGTGTTCAGTTCACAAACGATTACCGCCACACTTGCTCATGACGATAGGAGCTGATGACTTTTATCCATCGGTGAAATAACGTACAGTATTACTTTAATGCAGAATCAGAAAATGTCTTTTTTGCTGGAGGAATCCCGACAAGCTATAAAGCTCTATTTCACAGATGCCCAGTAGGGGCAGGTCAGAACGTTAAAACATGCATCCAAACGTAATGCATCCCAACGTAATGCATCCCAACGTAATGCATCCCAACGTAATGCATCCCAACATAAAGCATCCCAACATAAAGCATCCCAACATAATGCATCCCAACGTGCACTTAGATGGTTATATAAAGGATTACTATATAAATAATGATTCTGGTGGTTGCATCACGATGATTCCTTACATCGAGAAATTAAGGCCATGATGGGAAAATGTCATGCATAAATCCCAATGACTTCCCAAGATGGTTAAAATAAAGGCCACGCATGTCAATTGTGCTTAAACCTCGGATAAAGAACAAATAAATAATACATCAAAATGCGGTAATTATTTTAAAAGACCATTCAAAAGTCATGAATATCAGTGGGCGCCAGATTAAAAGACATAAAAATATAATCAATCTCAATCAGGTTACATACGTTTAACTAGCCAAGAAATTACACCGCATACCCAAATGAGTTGCCAAAGCAAATTAAGGGCCTTCTCTCCCTCTTGTCCTGTGCCGACTGGTAGGGCCTTGGCTCAAACTCCCTCCCCCCCCCCCCCCACCTATCCTATCTGATCTTCAGTTTTCCTCTTCTTCATCAGTTCACAGTGTCGGTCCCTTCGTTCGAGTCGTCAGGCAGCATTTTTACTTTTATTTTTCTCCCGCCACTTGAGCGATGGCTCAAATAAAGGGCACGAAGAAGAATGGTATCACGGTCCTCTCAGACTGTTAACATTCGCACCTGAAGAAGTCATAAATCTCAAATGGGTTGTAACTTGTTCAGTAAAGCACAGCTCTAGCAAGTTCTTTTTGCCGGAGGGGCAGCTCCATGGCTGAAAGATTCATCCACCTCATTGGATCCCACTCCGCTGCCTTCATCACCTTGTAACACCACGTCCACGCTTGGCTTCTCCGGCCATGACTCGTGATGGATGGACGAGGTGGCCTTCTTTCCCTTTACTTCGTGGGCAGTTTTTTTTCTCTCTCTCTCTCCAGATGGTGCCATCCCCCAAGATGCAACTTAATGTCAAAGCCACGGAAATTTGTGCTTTTAATTGGAAACACCAATTCCTCGATCGCGCAAATGCGCTCGTTCGGCGGCGCTCTGGTGGGGGAGCTCCACTTGCAATCAGAGGGTCAGCGGCTCAAATACCACTCAGGGGTAAGACTCAGCCGATCATTTATTAGTGGTAGCTAAAATGAATTGCACCAACAGTTGGTGCCCTGTGGAGAGACATTAAAAACGTGGGATTTTTACTAATGCCACCACGTCTGTCAATGGACAGGAGCACCGCCAACGCTGCACAGGCAGTGGAACACATGCACACTTGTCCTTTATTAGGCCGGGAAAAGCTCAGCCAAGTAAAATAAGATGCTTTTAGGACAGCAACACTGTAAATGAGTAGTTTGTTGCGTTTTATACATCCATTAACATAATAATAAAAACAAGGCAAAATCCTAGCCAATGTAATTACCAATTTTACTGCAAGTATGGGATTATTTCGCACCTCCGCTTAGCACGGTTGGCTACGTACGGTGCAAAAGAAGTTCAACATACATACGAATATTGAAAAATTATAAATGGCTTCCCAATAATGGGAAAGCTTTCCCATAATGACGTCTCGCAGCAAGCAGTGCCCCACCCTGTGTGAAAGAATAACCCAGTAAAAACAATGGCGTAGAATTACTTGCCACTGGGCGCTAACACATGGCCCTGCAAGGAGCATTCCATCACACGGCAATGAAACTTAAAATTCAGCCCTAAGAACAGGAAGATTTTGCATTAAATGAAAGTAGAGCTAAAGTGAGAAATTGCTGGCTCACACCACTGCTAGTGGGAAGGGCCTCCAAGAAAGAGAGCTTTTGAGGGTAATTTGGTCTTCTCCTCCTCATTGGCCAGACATCTGGGAAGAGGAACCCACACTCTACCCCACCACACGTGACCTGCCAATCGGCTAACTCTGGTGGGGGGGGATTTAATGAATTTGCCCCATTGCTTCAACCGCCGCACCGGAAGATTGATCCGTTGACCTCCGGATTGCATGCTTGCTTCGCTAACCATTGCACCTTGGCAGCGTGCAAACGAGCTAAATGCTGGGTGGCTGGAGCCTGGATTCAAACTCATAATCGCAGTGTTACCAGCTCAGTCCAACCCAAGCCACCTTGGCCACCTCCCGCAGTATTTTTCTCAATTTAAACCCTAAATAAAATACGTTGTACTCTGCATAGTAAAATTAATTAACGAGCCCTGCGGATGGCTTGACATTAAATCGTGCCATCATTACTGACGTTAATATTTATTTTTGAATAACAAAAAATACATTACCATTAGATTGAATTTGCTCGGTGGCATTTGCTAACATTCAAGCTGGGAGGGAGGGAGGCTGGGAGAGCTCGGTGGGGTGAGTGTATAGCATCGTGACGTCGATGGGCTGGCAATTGATGAGCTCCACACGATCCAGAGTGGAAAATCACTCCCACTGCTTAGTCTCCGCGAGCGGCTGGCTCGCCAGAGCCTCCCCGAGGTCGACTTGCTCTAACAACATCATTTGACATCTCTCTCCGAACGCTCTCTTGGAGTGTGCCATGCATTTGAATGTTTAATCAAATTCTAGATTTGAAGCTTTCGTGACTGCAAGGATTCATATTCTTAGGTTTTTCGGTAAAGTCACGTAGGTAAAAAAGTTTAATCAAAAATCGCTTTGAAAAGAGATGTGATGCCATGGTATGGTGAGTTCAGCATGTGACGTGGACCAACTGGTACCTGCGATACCACCTCCTTGTGGGTGACATGCAGGTACTCTAATAATCCATGAGAGATTATTGGGTTGGATCACGTAAATATCAATGTGTCGTGAAACCCGCCACCACCCGACACAGCCAATTAGTAAGGTTTGTCACGTAAACAGAATGTGCCAGTTCGTTACTAGTTCAGCACACCGCTTGTGTGTTGGAGAGTAAAACCACAATATTTACAAACTGAGTACGACGTTTCACCAGCAATTACAACAAGCATCATCAGGCGACAGCCAGATTTATAGAGAAATCCTGCTGTTTCCTGCTAAATAGAGAGATAGATGTGATATCGTCGTTTGCCAGCCATTCAGGTGCGAAGGCCAGTGGGGTTGGGGGGGGTAATGTATGCATATAAATTACAATGGATATCCATTACCTGTTGGATTATTCTCGATCCATCCCAAAAACCTCTGAAGGATAATATTGGTCATCAAATCCAACGTGTTAAACTCTCTGACAATGCTTTCCACAAGAGTCTATTCATGCACGGGATATGTTTAGACAATGGAACATTCATTATTTTATTATATGAGGAGGCTCGTTAAAAGACGTTACTCGGCAATTAAGAGGTATCCCACCCTTCAGCGACAGTCAAAATAAACTCCTTAAAAAAAGTTTTTTTATTAAACAACGGTTTCATTAACAACTTCGTTCTAACTCACGGTCGAGTAGTACGTCAATGGCACCTAAGACACGTGGCGCCTGCTTCTTGGTTGAGGCGATTCCAGAGTTTGAGGACCGGGGCGTTTTTGACCTACCCAAATAAATATTTATTGAATAAGCCATCCATACAAAATTTGTATTGCTTTAAAAGAGCCAATTAATTGATTAATTGATGCCGGCATGCATTGTCACCGGATCTGAGTACGTGTGCAAAATTTGGAATTGATTGGACAACTGGAAGTAGACTAAATTTTGAATATCAGGATTTGACCACGACACACACAAGTCAAGCTAAATAAAACCGTTGAAGAATGACGCTCATACCGCTGACGAGCAGAGCACTGAGGGGCTTTAACACAGCAAGTTGGGGACAGCGGAAAGTGCAGACGGTGCACCTGCCAGCCATCTCAGGCAGTTAACCCACAACACCTGAAACCCATCTCAAACCTCCTACCAGCGAGTCTTTGACACTTTATGCGACCTCAAAGTGCACCGTGAGCCTGGCACAAGCGCCGTGGGGATGTTTGCCACTCAGTCACGAATGGCGGTTTCCGTAGTATACGTATGTCTTTGTAGAAAGCTCAATTGGTAAAGCAGTAGTGTCTCCAATTTTGAGATAAACGGATCAACTTCTAGTCAGGTTAATCATCACGATAATGGTCATCAGCTTTGTGACCAGCATCATCAATGTACCAAATATGATCAACATCATCAAAGAGGCCATATCAGCCACACCACCATCATCAAAATCATCATTATCGTAATTTTATTGTTATCTAAATCATGTCACGTCATCATTACGACCACCACCACGACCGTCATCAACACCACCATGACCACCATCAACATCACCAGGGAGACCACCAGCATGACCATCACCACCGTGGTGCCAGTGCTCGACTCACGCGTCGTGCCGGGTGTCCGGAATGCTGCGGTCCATCTTGAGTTTATCGCTCTCCACCTGGTTGAACTTGTTACGGTTGTATGGGTCCTGACCAGGCCTCACCAGTGTACTGCCGATGTATATGCTCTGATCGAAGTCCCTCCACCGTACCTTGCCTGCCAATATACACACACACACCGACACAAGGATTCCCCATTTAGTCTTTTATATTTGGGAGGCAAATGCTGTTAGTGAGCACCTATTAAGGCTACGGAGGCACACAATGGACGATGTGGCGAGGCTAGGGGTGCTTGAACGCCTCTGCCTCCCATGTAATAATGTTCACATATTGGGCCAATTGGCCGTTTAAGGAATCCATAAATTAAATTTTCTTCCCGGCACTTGCTGTCACGTTGCAGAAAATGTTTACATACTGTACTAAGTACTAATTTAAGGCTGAGTTGACTTAGGGGACGGCCAGTAGCAATTCAAATAATCTCCACTGATATCAACCTTGGCCATGAATCTAATTCAGGTCACTGGTTTTATAGCGCAATGCGCAAACTATTCTGCAACTGCTACAACCGTACAAACTAACTCACACAACACACACACGGGAATACATGCGTACATAAAGGCAAAAAAAGACAAAGATCCCCCATAAAGCCTTATCAGACTTTTGGGGCAAGTGCTGTTCGCGAGCACCTATGAAGGCCAGCGCGACACACGAGGGCGTGGATGGCCAGCACCATGCCAGGCCGCCTTTGTCTCTCTAGTTGCAATGTTTGCACATTGCACCAGGTACTCAGTTGAGGCTGAGTCGACCGAGGGGAGGCCCAGCTAGGACCGGTTCAGATAATCGTCACTGGTGTTGGCCGTGAGCGGGAATCAAACTCGGGTTGCCGGATTCATAGCGCAGCACGCTAACCGCTATACCACTGCTCCCCTTTACATAAAGACACACACGTGTTCAGCGCAGCCAAACAAAGCTGCCTAAAAACAAAAATGATCGATGAACAAGGAAATAGCCTCCTTGGTAAGACAGAAGTAGGAGTCCGGCGCATATAAAAATGTCGAAGAAAACAGGGGCTGCTTGTAAGGCAGTTATCACAATCGCACCGAATCAATACAATAACAATTTTCTTTTAGTATGCTCCTGTCAAAAATACCGAGAGCTCTCTGGATGCAGCCAAGTAAAAAGGAAACAGTTGCGGGCAATATTTTAAGAAGGTACAGTTTAAAGCCACATCGACATTCCTGCAATTGTTTTACCGCGTTCTCATTTTAGATCACGTTGCCTTACTTTATCCCAGTGACATTTCGATTTTCCCTGCGAGGTGAACAAACGTCTCTTCGGAATTCCTTCAAGTGGGCAGAGGCCCCCCCCCTCCTCGCTGCCACCGCATCGAGAAAAAAGGCCCCCCCCTCCATCTCGGAAGAAGACAACGACGAGGCGGAGCGACTTCAATAGCAGTCACATCAATGGGCCTCTCTTCTCTCGGCACCAGACAAGGCCGCTAACGGTGGCCCCGCCGCACGGCACCCCGATGCGTCGTAATTCTCCAATACCGGGGGTTGGGTTGCAACGCGGTGAGATGATGAGATGGCAAAAATACATTTTCGTGGATATTTATAAAACACAAGTTACGGTGTTTGATATTTACCACGCATGTTTTGCAACGACCCTAAGGCGATGCGGCCCAGCATCGTTCGCCGCTCATTCCGGGGGTTTGCGGTTCGACTCCAGGGGGCCGCACTGGTAAATACTTTGCGGGCGCATTGACCATGAAACATCGCACGCCGTCCGCTTCCCAGTGGACGTTAATCATCCCCCCCGACATCACTTGAAACAAGTAGGCCCATTCCGGGCTGGGGGTCATTGTCCAAATTTGCCACGTTAAATAAATTACCCGAACCACTTCACTACCTCTCCTCCAGTGGGCATTGATTCTTAAGAGAATTAATTAGGGCATTTAGGCACTCCCCCCGCCCCGCCTTTCCCCCACCCCCTCCCATTGTTTCTCTCTACAGGGGTATCAGAGGTTAGGAAGACACCAGGATTGGAGAGTTTATTGAAACAGTCAATTGAAACATGTGGTATAGACCGGTTTCCAATGCACTGTAGTCTGTAATGTGTCTGTGCTGGTGTCAACCCCTTTTCACATCCTCTTGTGTGTACCTGAATCGTTTCGTTAACAAAAATACTTTTGGGAAGAAAAACATTTTCCGATAACTACTCATTTGAGATTGCACATAGCAATCATCGTCCCCCCCCCGCCCTACTGTGAAACTACGCAGACCGTGTCTGTGAAATATAGCTCCTTCGCACTGGTAGCCTCACGCTATAAGAATGATAGCGCCATTGCAAACGTACTCAATTATTATTATTATGAAGAACCCACCGCTGGCTCCGGGCCACGATTGGACATGTGAGCCGCATCATCTCATTTGAGCAGAGACACACCGTGGCGTTGGACATAGGCGTGACGAATGAAATACAGATACAATGTATCACTCTCCGATGTGTTTTTGGGTCGCACTGCGCATTATTCTGAGGTTTCGCTCCACACAACAGTCGACCCACGTGCTTTCACGTGGAGAGCAACGTCGTACATTACGCCTAACGGTCGCGAAAAAAATCCCCGAAAACACATCGGAGAGGCATACGGCACAACCGCGAAGACCCACGCAGTCGTGCGCTTGCAGCTGCTGTCCACGTACCTGGGGTAAGAGACTCGGTGGGAAGATTTCCGCCATCGCCCGCGATCACAACATCCCGTTCCAGGTTGGGCATCAAGTTATCCTGGAAAAGAAAAGAACGTTCGCTAGAGCAAGGTGCACACACACGTGGCCGTGCGTGTTTCTCTCTCGAGTTTAGATTCCCGCTTGCGGACAACATCAGTGGTGAATATCTGAACTGGTCGTGGGGCTTCCCCCTAGGCCAACTGAAATCGAGTACCTGGTGCGGTGTGTAAATATCACCTCTGGAAGGCCGGCAGGGTGACCCCTTATGTACCGTGCCAGCCTTCAGAATTGCTTGCGAACGGCACTGCCGCCAAAAGTCTGTTAAGGCTACACGGGGGATCTTTGTATTTGGCTTCATGTGTGCGTCTCTCTCTCTAACACTACCAGTCCATGAGCCCAGACCAGATATTTCACTTGTCGGTACCACCTGAGGAGGCATAATTTTAGTCGTTCCAATTTCATTATGTAGCCAATAAAAATTAATTACGTCATAACCATTTGAAATGATTGCGGTTTTCAAAAGTTTACTCTTTCTAGCCATATAAATACAGTAAAACCTTGGATTGTGAGTAACTTGGTCTGCGAGTGTTTTGCAAGACGAGCAAACTTTTAAAACAAATATTAATTTGATAAACGAGCGAGGTCTTGCAATATGAGTAGTACGTGTTTACGCTTTGTCTGCCGAGCATCACGTGATCACAACTGATATACGAGTGCTTTGATATACGAGTGCTTTGGATTACAAACACGTTTCCGGAACGAATTATGCTCGCAATCCAAGGTTTTACTGTACATCTAGACTTCAAAAGGTTTTGCTGCATCAGGTGGCACCAATTCCTGCTCTGGCCCATGGACTATGAAGAAGACTCTCAGCCTTTGTGCAGCATGCAAAAACCATCAGCAAATGCTGAAGTAGTGCATTGTGGTCTTCTTGTGGTCATTGGTCAGCTTCAAAATAAATTTGAGCAAATGAAACCACCTGACAGGCAGCATCAAATTGATGTGTGACCCAAGACAAGAGGGACCACAATACAAACTCTTCAGAAACTGTTTATAGTTTTTCATAATGCATAAAGGCCAAGCGATTTTTTACAAGTTTACAAACGTTTGCCCTTTGTTTGAAACGTATGGGTTTCCAGCCTGCACTACTTTTCTGTGATGATGGGTTATTCTTGTAATTTATAGATTTGACTGAGGAGGCCAGTGCCTTAAAGCTGGCACTTCTGAAAGCCTCGGTTGATGCTCAAAGTCCGTATTGATATCAAAGTCCGTGTTGATGCCTGCACTGGCATAAGCCTGGGCTAATTTATAGGTATGTATGTATGTTGAACTTCATTTGCACCGTACGTAGCCAACAGTGCCAATCAAAGGTACAGGAGGACAACAAACTAAACACAAAAAGCAGTTATAAAGAAATTAGTTTACAATCTGGATTTAAAAGTGCATAGCTCCAGTGGATTCCTCATATCCGAAGGAAGAGCGTTCCAGACGGTGACGAAAGCGCATCTGAAAACGTGCAATGCAGTGACCGTCTTTGTTGGATGGTTAGCAAAAAGCCGCTGCTTCGAGGGTGACCAGAGTTTGCGTGATGGTGGTTTATGCTCTTTGACGAGATCAGCGAAGTAAATTCCTGGCACGAGGTATCTTTCAGGAGGCAATCTGCTTCTATGATGAGTGTACTTTGGTTAACCAGGTGGTGAGAGTTCAAGAAACCAGGATGAATCTCATTTGCAAGTACAGCAATTGAAGCAAATAGACATCAGAGCAAAAAAAACTACTGGTCACATAAAAATATTTTGCTGTCTTTTCTTGGATTTTCTGTTTGCACATAGTCACATAGTCACTTTAAGATGTTTTCTTGTTTATGTTTTTGTTTTGTGTTTGTTGCGGTTGCACCCGATTCAAGAGCCGAATGGCTCACAGGGCCATACCAAATAAATTAAACTGAAAAACAAAAGTTAAAACAAATTACACAAACATAAATCGATGTGAAATAATAAATTCCCGTTGCGTAGTGTGTCTAGTTCGTGCTCATGAGAGTCATGGTTGAATCTCTGGGACGGGGTGTGTCCTCTGGACACAAACCTCTTGTTTAATGTGCCTAGCCTGAACTTCTAAAAACCCTGGGTTGAATTCCTTGTGGCTGGTGGTCCTTTCGGAGGCAACATGGTGAACATAACCGTCGCACTTACGAGTGTCATTATTAGAGAGAGAAAAAAACGCCCCGAGATTGTTTGCTCGAGGAGTCCATTGCGTAATCATGGCATGCAACTTGCCTTACAATGCCACGTTGCGATCATGGGTCACAAACCTTGGCCTGCAAAAACAAGTCTAACCAGCTTCCCCCCCCCCCCCCCCCCCCGTATATAAAAAGCAATAGTTATCTTCTTGGTTCTTTCGGTAAAGTCACGTAAACGGGAAATAATAAAATAATAATAAAAAACCATAATAAAATCATTCTCACGACGTTTCGGCCACAACGCAAGCAGCCGTCCTCAGGTGAAGACCAGGTCTGACGCTGTCCTCCCCGACAGACCTGGTCTTCACCTGAGGACGGCTGCTTGCGTTGTGACCGAAACATCGTGAGAATTATTTTATTATGTTTTATTTTTATTATTTTATTATTTCCATGCTACGTGACTTTACCGAAAGAACCAAGAAGATGAATCCCTGCAGTCACGAAAGCTTTAAATCGAAACTAACCAGCTTCCCCCGTATATAAAAAACAATAGTTAATCAACCAACCTGTACTGTCATTCATTCATCGATCCGTTGTTTGTCCCCTCTCTCCGAAGCAGGGACTAACTCCTGCCCTGGCAATGTGGAATTTTCCACCACTGGCTCAGCCGGCCCTTCGCTTGTCTGAACAGGGAGAGGCATTACGCTGACTTGATCGTCTTTAAGGTTGCGTACAAAACTCATGGACAACAATAACAACATCGAAGCTGCCACCGTCGATGCCTTGGCCAACCTGCGCTGACCAGCGTGGTGAAGTACGGTCAAATAACCTCCACAACCCACACAGAGCGGCGATGCCCTCACCAGCTTAGGAGATTGTTAAAGGGGGCTGCACATTCGTGGTAATTGTATTGCAGTGTTGCCCCTGTGATTAGCTATCTCAAGACTGTGCAACATCGATTATCACTGATCCAGTGGGAATTCTGCATTGATATGACAGAGCCAGTCTGCCCAGAGCAGTGTTCCTTCACTAATTACCAGAGGGGGGGGCCACTTCCTCCGATAAGACATCATCAGCGCGAGGGCCGCCACACATTCGAAACCACTGGGGTTTTACAGCACGATGATGATGATGATTGGGGGGGGATGTCACTCTTTGTGAATTGTCGGGGGCCTCAAGTCAGGGGCCGCCAGGGTCCCGCGGGGTCTTCCAATGAAGAACAATGACCCAGAGAATGACCCCAGGTGACCCCAGAGGGGAGACGTGTCGAGTCAACTCCCTCCCAACATGGATTTGAATTCAGGTTCTTCTGGTTCACTCCGGCACCTTAAGAACGGCACTGATGTTGTTAGTCGTGTCATAACGCGTACATTCATCATTTGGCACGTAATGATTCTATAGATCAGAATTATTATTACGCAACTGTTTACGTATTATGCAATTTATATGCTAATATACCTCAGCTGATGCAACTAATGAGACTGTACATTCAAATTAAACAAAAGGGATATTGTTGAATTCATTAAGAGAGCCGGAATCATGATAAGACTGCAGCCAGAATATCGACTGTACTTTTGTAGCACACACTATAATGCGCGTGATGCCATGTCAACATCTGTTGCCATCATCATCATGATAATTCATCAAGTTGCACAGGAGGTGAATCATTAAACACCAAATATAATCATCACCAAATCCAACAGTGGTTGCTCCATGGAGGGGGGATCAGCCCTCACCATGGGAATGTGGATTTTCCACCACTAGTTCAAGGATGCCAACAGATCGTAGACAGGCAACTTGCCCATCCTCGTCTGGGCTGGAATTCAATGACGTTCAAGGGAAACTTTGACAATCAAGTTGGCTAAACCCACGCTGTCCCGCCCACCTGTCTGGGCGATCCTGCCATTCTCACTTTGAAACGTGCCGTGTCCCAAACCGGACCTCGCGGCAGAATCAGGACCGCACACGACATGGAGCGCTTGACAGATGAAGCCCATTACCGCTGCCCAATGAGAGCGCGCTCGGGCTCGCTGGCATCCCCCCCCCACCCAGCCCCCCGCCATGCGTGGGGACACTGAAGGGCCAGCCGCCGTTCATCTCTGTCAGCCCAGGCGACTCACACGCTCACTCCCCCGCTCGCCCGCTCGCCCGCTCCCCGCTCGCCTGCCTGCTCCCCCGCTCAACCGCTCCCCAACCCGCTCCCCCGTTCCCCCGCTCGCCCATCCGCTCCCCGGATCGCTCACCCACTCCCCCCTCGCCCACCCACCCACTCCACCGCTCGCTCACATAATCCACCACTCGTTCCCACACTCACTCAATTAACCATTCTCACAATCGCCCGCTAACCCACTCGCACGATCGCCCACTCGCCCGGGCGCTCCCCCACTTGCACGAAGGTCCACCCGGCAGCGCACACGAGGAGGTGGTGTGGCCAGTGCCACATCCGACTGCCTTCGTCTCCCAAGGGCTGTTTACGTAAAGCACCAGGTACTAATTTACCAGATATTTACCAGATATATCACACCGGTGTTGACCGTGAGCAGGAATCAAACTCAGGTTGGGAGTGCAGTGCATTAACCACTGTGCCACCGCTCCACCCAAATATAATAAAAATACACAAACCTATTCAGGCCGAGGCAGTGCACAAGGGGGTGCGTGGTCAGCACCATACCGAGCCGCATATGTATATGTCTCTTCATTGCTAGTGTTTGAACACCACACCGGGTACTCATTTTAAGGCTGAGCGGACCAAAGGGATACCAGGAACAGGTTCTAATATTCGGCATTGGTGTTGGCCACGTGCGGGAATTGAACTCGGGTAGCCAGGTTCGTAGCACAGCAGTGCCACCGCTCCACCCAAATGTATTAAATACATACGC